GAGATGCAGTTTACCTGACAGGTATTTTAATTAGTTAATTAGGGAACCAAGATGACCTCCCTTGTCCACAAAACTATATATTTTCGGAAAGCTTATTGTATGAATTTTAAAATTTGTTAGTATTTTTTTTCTATGGACACTGTAGTTTGAAATATGCACAAAAATATGCTTTTTTGGTCAAAAGTGATTTAAAAAAAATTAGCTTCTAAACCATGCTTCTGTTTCCTGTCAAAATTGGTTTATGGGTACATCTATTTACTATGAAGAAAGTGTCGTCTTGAAAATTGTCTACCAGTTCTCAATTTTGCAGGGCAGCAGCTCAAATTTCACTACTTCAAGTTATGCATAAATTAACACCCAGGCTAGTTGTCTGTACGATTGTTGTAACACTGTTCAACTAAAAACAATGCCCCGACGGCGTTTTAAAGATAAACACATTGTCAATCATTTGTGAAAATTTCAAAACAAAAGGTCAAAGCGTCTAGGAGCTATTTTTAGCTCCGCTGTCGACTTTGTCGAGCGGAGCTTATCATATGAGTGATTGTCCGTCGTCGTCCATGTCAATGTTTTACTTTTTCGACTTCTTCTTGAAAACTACAAGCCTTAATTCTTTGATACTTGGTGTATATATACCTTGGGTAGACCTCTCTCAGATTTGTTCATTTCAATTCTCTAATTTTGGTGAATATTTTTGTAATTTTTGGTAAAAAGTAATATTTTCGACTTCTTGTTAAAAACCGCAAATCCAATTGCTTTGATATTACATATATAGGTACTACATGTGGACCTCTCTTAGATTTGTTGATTTTGTAATGATATCTTCAATTCTCTGATTTTGGTGAATATTTTTGTTGTTTTTGGTAAAAAGTGATATTTTCGACTTCTTGTTAAAAAACGCAAGTCCAATTGCTTTGATATTACATAAATAGGTACTACATGTGGACCTCTCTCAGATTTGTTCATTTTGTAATGATTTCTTCAATTCTCTAATTTTGGTGAATATTTTTGTCATTTTTGGTAAAAAGTGATATTTTCGACTTCTTGTTGAAAACAGCAAGTCCCATTGCATTGATACTATGCATATTGTTCATTTTCTAATGATATCTTCTGTTCTTTAATTGAAATGTGCATTGCTAACAGCGGAGCTATCTCAGCCGAGAGGCTGCTTGTTTATTAAAGTTCTGGGATGTGCACTAAAAAGAAGCTGAGATAATTGCTAATTTGCATAACAATTCACTCAGTAAGAAGTTTGCTAATGCTCATAATTAAAATGGCTGTAGCAGTTCCAAATTTAAATGTATTATCGTTTTGTTAAAAGTTAAATATAGTGCATAATATGGAGATCCCATCATTTCTTTTTTTCACCATGTTTCTTTTTTATTATTTATGTACAGCCTTGCTAAATCTTGCTAACTATTCAAAAGAAAGAATGTTTGCACCTGTTATCTATATTTTAAAATCGTTTTTTGAGTATGTTCCACTATTCACAATTGTACAAAATTGTAACAGTCTATAGCCAAGACTGTTTGGATAATAAATAGCCAAAAAAAAAAAATGTCACTCCCAAGTGCCCACGAACCTGCATCTCTACCTTAAAGCAATACATTATTAATGAGCATCTTGCATGCTTTTGTGCAGTTTTCCATCTGTTTTGTGATACTGAACCAAATTGATCTATGTTGTACAAAATGTCATGTCACATAGCATACATTTATGATAATAGCACGCACATAGTTTAAATAAATTTTTGTTGAAGCTGTCTAAGTTATGTGTGTACACCTAAAATTTTAGCTGGTTTCATAAGTCCTTTGTACATCACATTTTCCCTGAGGTTCATGACCATTTTTTTTTTCAAATTTGGAACACAGGTGATGCATAATTCATAGTTTTGATAAAATTCAAAATGATTAACTGGTGATCCAAAAATTGCATAGTAACCTACATTTTACGTTTATAGAGCTTTATCTGTGAGTTGTACTGACCAATTATGCTAAAACTGAATTATTGGTAGCATTTGTTGGCTTACTAAGGTACTTTTATTTTTAGGATTTGTTTAAAATTGATTTTGTTTGCCAAAAATACTCATATTTACACATCACATTATAAAAAAAGATTTTTGTCTTGACCTATTTTAAGATGATCGACCTTGCAGCCATTTTCTTTAATATTTTGCCGACATAGATATTGCAGACTCGCACAATTCAAAACATTTTCTCAACAGTGTAGAACTTGGAAATGC